AATTCAAGACCCAATTAGTGTAGTACCTATAAAGATCCGGGACCCAACTAGTGTAGTACCCAAAATAATTCGAGATCCAACTAGTGTAGTAATTTTAAATTCGGAACCCAATTCGGATGTAGCCGTTATAAGTATCAACCTACATAATATGGAGATGATTATGGAAGGGATTAAATGGTATAAAGCAATAAATATACTGAAAAATTCATAATTTATTTATTGGAGTCCTATATAGGAATTTAATCTTGTGTGCAGCCGGATAGGAATTTTTATTAATTTAATTTATTATTTATTATACTTAATACTTTCACAATGTTGAATTGTTACAATTAAATAATAATATTTTTACAAGCACTTCCTGTAAAATGATTGTATATATTTTATAAACTCTCCTAACTGGGTTGATTGGAAAATTTATTGTAATTTGTAAGAGTTTATTACAATTATTTTTTGTTTTGGTCAACATTAATAATAAAATACATGTATTGAAATAAAAATAATCAAAAATCTTAAATATCGTCTTATCCTATAACCGTATCGCATATTATGCAATACTATATCATCATAATATATATTAGTCATTACGTTTACTGTTTGAAATTAATTACGAATAACACTATGGCAATGAATGTTGACAGGTTTGTATTATGTAGATACTAAAGTAAACAGAACCGAAGATGTGCAACATTTTTTAAATTCTTTAAATAATAACTTATGACCGAAAAAGCATTATTTATAACTGTAAGAATTACATATAGAACGCAACCTGTAATTATTCGCGTTTATGGTATAATAGAAAGAAAAAACTCGAATCAATGAATTGTTTACTTTCTTTTAGTAAATAGCAGGTTTGAAACGTAGAATACGGTATAGTATAAAACACGTATTATACGTACATATAAACCATACGTTTTATACTGTATAAAAATAAAATCCCTTATAAACAAAAAAGCATTTATAATTTAAACACAATAAAATAAGAAAATATAAATTATAAATAAACAATTATGGTGCTATTAATCTATTGTTAATAATTATCATTATTTTATCACGGACGTATTTATAGTAAATTTATTGTACTTGGGATATTTGTAACCAAGCGCGTCCGCAGGTTAAAATCCCACTCGGGGCAAGATTAAAATTCTAAGGGCCAAAACAACATGTATCTAAAAGTAGATGAGAACAAAATCAAATACCATGGAAATTGGTACTCAGGAGAATTTATAGTTTTAAGCAATATGCAATCATGTGTAAACATTGTATACTAATAAATATGTTCAAAATTATATATTTTAGATTATCAAAAATATAATAAATTTTACTAAAATTTATAAATGAATCTCAATAAAATTATGTTATAATTAATATGCGTGGTATTAAATTAACAATAGTTTTGAAATATAAATTCCCAGTAGGGGCAATATCCCCTTTCGCCCCCCTCTGCGGGCGTGCATGTTTGTAACACTTTTAATATTTTATATTAATAGATTATAAACGAAAAACTAAAGTAGATATATTTTATAAAATAGTAGTAAAATATATTTTTGCAATGTATAAAATTTAAAAACCTCACTTAATATCTGAAATAGGAATTATGTTTAATTTATAAGAGTGAATTTTAAAAACAAACCGAGTTATACGTTTTAGTCATTTTGTACGTTTTATACGTGGGATATTATACGTGTAACGTATAAAACGTTTCCAAACACAATAGCTCAGTCTTAGAACATATACCGAAGTAGAAAGTTTGGTTTTGAAGTACGCATTTACTTAGCAAAAGTAAACACTTTAGGGATTTAGATTTTTATTTTTATAAAATAATAATGTTCATATATACTGACTAATATTTTATAATATTTATTTGAAAATAACTGACGTACTAACTGCATTGTATTAGGACATCCGTATTTATCAATGATAAGTACGGATGTCCTAATATTAATGATAAGTTATCATACCAAGTTTGTTTTTTTTCCGCACTGCATTCAATTAGTAATTTAACTACCAAACGTAAATACTAACTCTACATTTGTTTACATTTGACTTCACTCTTTAGTTGTAATATTCACAGGATTTTTTTGATTATTGACTGGGAAGAATTAAAATAGAAATTTATAATTAAAATTAAATAGATTTAGTTTTTATAATTGTATTATTATAACAAACTTCAGAATATTTTCAAATGTTTTAAGTATATGTAGGTACTAAAAAAAAAATATTTTTATACAGTTGCTATGGGCCAAATACCAAGGGGAAGTTGATAACCCCAATAATTTATTAAAATGGTCCTATAAAATTAAAAATATATTTTAATTGCAAGCTTAAGGTTAAAAAGTTTCCATTGAATTTTTTAAAAGGGTTTAATTTTTTTCTCATTTTAAAGGGTCCAATCGTCGATTGATCGTTTATGGTAATATTTTTGGAAAAATTACGACCTTATCAAAAATTAATACATTACATTGTTTTTATTCATACGTGTTTTAATTAAAACATTTTAAGACCACTGAGAGTAGTAAACATAAAAATGAAAATTTAAAATATATTGTATTCATTTTCTGATTTTAATTTAAAAATATAGTGAGTTAATTGAAAAAGATTTTTTTGTTTAAAATTGAGATTCATATTTTCGTATTTTATAAACTCGATTAGACAAAATATTCAGGAAAGAACTACATACATGAAACATGTATTATAAATGTGTCTCCAAAATAAAAATAATCATTTGAAATAACGCACTTTCATGTATTCTAAATTTAAAGTTTAAATTGCTTAGAAGACAGAAACAGTCAAGTACTATACTTTTACCATAGCAATAATTAAATTTGCAACATAGCACTCTAGCTTCTCTTCAAATGAAAAGTGGGTGCATTTCAGAATATTGATAATATTAATAAGCAGCTTACAACACGACAAATATAATTTAATATTTTACATTGAAGGATAAGACGTATTTTGGTAAATTTAAAGAACATGAGTACATTAGTAACAATTTTTGTTTATATAGAATTATAGAAATATCTAAAATACATTTTGGTGAATCAAAATATATACATATAATATTTATTAACACAGCAGGCTTTAATTTAAAGACTAAAAAGGCATTACACATTGTATGGTATATATATTTTTTTTATTATTTATTTATTTTTTATATAATATTTAATAAAAAAAAAAGTTTTAACTCTTTGCGCTCCAATATAATAATTATAATAATAATAACAACAACAATAAACGCGTACTTGGGTTTGCTTTTCATAAAAAAAAAAATAAGTGATCAGCTGCATATACCGTTGCTCGCAAAAATAAAAATTTCAACATTAGTTAATAACAGTGTTAAAATGTTTAACTGACAACGGAGCGCAAAACGTCAAGTGCGTCTTTACAACTCATTATATATACACATTATAAACAACGTTATAAAATCCGAGACTCAAAACAAAACAACAACAAATTTGTTAAGTACATTAAACATTTTTTTTTTCATTTTTACTTTTTTATGAAACATAATATTTCAAAGACATTACTTTTAAAATTTAAAACAACTATACGAGGTACGTAAAAGCAGCCTAAATATTAATTAGTTAACTTTGTAATGAAAATTAGTTTACAATGTGATGCATATAATTATTAATTCATTCACATTAGAATCCAAGATATGCAACTTCGGATTGTCAACAATTGCCTAAGTTATTAATAAGCAGTTAAGAATAAGTTATGATTACAAGTGAAGAATAATGAGAAATGTGAAATATTTATTTTGCTAAGCTTAAAACTACAAGAAACAAATTTTAACAATGATATAAAAATTTACACTATAAATTGCATACAAGAATTAAATTTTAGCCAAGTATAGATAAATAAATTAATATGTGTAATATTGAATTCTAAAAATAAGTTAATTATACTAAGGTTTATATGTACATATAACATAAATCACAATAAATATTGTAATTCAAGAAACTTGAGAATGTTTATGAACGTAATATGAGATAAAATTTGAGTACATGTTTAATGAACATTAAAATTATGATTTATCACTATGTAAAATATATATTAATCATTATAATAGTAAACATATCGTGAAAAGCCATTGGTGTTCTTCTCGAGTTTCTTGATTGTCTAACAAGAATAAAATTATACAAAATCCATTGAATTATAAGTACAGATAATCAAATAACAAAGGTGTAACTACATAAATGGTATACAGTTATTATTGGTGACCATAAAAGTAAAATTAAAGGTCATAACAAAATATGTTTCTTTCATAATTATAGGCGTATGCAAACTTCAATGTATGATCAGAATATGAAAAAAATATAGGCCCTCATTCATTAATATTTTTATTTGTATACCCGTGCACATATTATAATAATATTGGAAATTATTTTACTAAAACAATAAATAACAAGTAACAATTATAACTGTGCGTACGCCTATGATTATATTAATAACAATAATTATGTCCTTATTTATAAGATTAAAAGTAAAATATAAGAAATTAAGAAATAATGGTCTAAAATAAAATTGTTAGAAATATGCAAGTTAAAAATTACTAAATTTTTTTTTTTTTTAGATATATAATAACATATTATTTAAAAGCTCATTCATTTAAAAATTATATTACGTTAACATTTTGCAACATAAAATAATTAAAATTAAAACGAATTGGGACGGTGTATTCTTTTATCTCACTAGTATTTTTTAAATTGTATAATACTTAACTATAAACACTAGGCAAAGTCAACTTTATGTTTTCTTTATAACAGATACATGATGTGAACAAACACAAAGCAACATGTTTTATATCTACTAAAGGGAGTAGGTATTAACATAAGTGGAAAATCCGACTGATCATACTTTTATCCTACAAATAGAGATACTTCGAAGGAACAAGAGATATTAGAGATCAATAATATTTACGACGAATCGACAATATAAAATTATTTAAAAAAAATAATAATTATGTTTAATAACAGTCATTTCCTTAATGTCATTAATAAAAAAAATAAAAAAACTTGCTTCGATCAAAAATTTTTTTTAAACAAAAACTTAAACATTTTCTTTTAAAATTGTTCGTTCTAAATTTCATAACATTACTGTACAAAAGAATAACAATTCATAAATACTCTTTAAATAATTTATTGAATTTTAAAAAAAATGGTTATCAGTCTTTCCCTAAAGCATGAGTCGGAATTTCCACATGCCATAATGTTAACACCACTAATCATTTGTCATATTATCATACATGTATTTCTTGTTCTTCACATTTTCCAATGGTTGTATAATGTATCTTTCTTGAAGAGGTGTTAAATTCAGGTCTTAATCGTTTTAGTCCAAATCTTGATACATATAATACAGCACCCAAAAATGCTAGTACAGCACAAAACACTAACAACATTATCAATTTGTGATTGCCATGATTACCATCAACAAGTGTAGTGCGTACTGGACTTGGACAATCATTGCGATATGCAGCGTATGGATCAAGAGGATTTTTTGACAAATCTTGGATACATCGAATTGATTCACTGTTACGAACAATTACCTTGGTGGTATGTAACCAACTATATAGGTTTTCAATGTTACAACCACATGAAAATGGGTTGTTGGACAAATCGATAACCAAAGATTTATTGCCTGACTGAACAGTATCTAAGGCTGAAAGTTGTTCATCGGCCAGTCCACGTATACGATTACCTTCTAAGTCAATGAAACGCAAATTAGACATACAGTCTATATTGAAATCAATGCCAGTAAGTTGATTATTGCTGAGATGTAGGTCAAGTAGACGGGGCAATGGGCAAAAAACACGAGGTTCTGTTATAACACTTATTTTATTTTGTTCAAGATGAAGTTTGGCCAAACGACTTAAATTACTATTGACGAATACTTCATACAAATCAGTAGTTATGTTTACAATATTTTCATCGGCAAATGCGTCAGTCAGATGAAGTTCTACCAAACTCTCAAAGTTTGAAAATACTCTATAAAATATAATTGAATGTAATTAATTCTAAATTCTTATTAAAAAATTAAAATATATTTAACACTCAAATACATATGCACTTCTGTATAATAAAGATGCTAATTTTAAATTCATGAATAAATACAAATTAGGTTTAAATGAGATATTTATAAAAAAGGAATTAAAAAAATAACAAAAATATCAACTTATAATAATTGTATTAATCCAAATAAAAATTATAAAATATTTGCATTTTTTTTTACATTACCTAAGCTACTGACACACTAACCCAACTTAAGCATTTAATTTTTTGGATAACTAAGAGTGCTTACCTAATTCTTTAAAATTTTATAAATTTAATTTAAGTTTTATGAAGATTCACGCATATATTTTTAATTTTTTATCATTTATGTACTAACATCATATTTTTAAAAAAGACATTGATCTACCATAATGCATACATTAATATTATATAATATAGTGATGAATAATTCAACCAGTAGAAGGTTCTAGCAGTGGCATGTAATGCAAACAAAATTATGAGATCACACAGCCAAATAATTATTATTTCAGACGAATGTCCTAGCAGGATGATCTCATACACTATTTAAATAATTTAGTTAATATTTTAATTTAATGTTTATAGTTAAGATATTGTTACCTTTTAAACTAATAATAAGATACACAAACATAAAAACTAAAATCTATGATGACCTATGGCTATTATAAAATATCAGTGTCTAAAAAAAAAGTGGTGTATTATACTTTAGTGCAAGAAAAAAATTCACTCCATACAAGTAATAGCTAAGTGATTAATTCACGAGTAATTGATAGCATTAAATATTTATTTTAATCAAGTCAGAAAAAAAAATTAGTTTAGGTCTTATCTTTAGAATGAAATGAAAATAAGATATTTAATGGAATCATAGTCATTATGTAATTTAAATTTAATTCTATAGAAACTATTGATTATGTAAATAATTTGACCTTATGATGTACTATTATTATTATAATTAAAAGATAAGAATAAAGTTCTCACCTGGGATGACGGAGTCCAATGCCATTCAACCCAATCTTGTTATTATTTAGTATCAGCCGCTCAACTTTGGAAACTCGATGATAACTCTTTCCTTTGATTTCTTGTATACCATTGTTGGACATGTCTAGGTACCGTAGTTTATCCATGGTACTGTAGACACCAAATATGTTGGAAGGCAACTCTGGGAGAAAGTTTCCGGTGAATATCAACACCTTCAGGGACATACAAAAAAATTAAAAATAACATCCATGCTTATTAAGTTAGTGGTAAGAAGATGACTAAAATGGGTTTATGATTGGCTTGAGCCAGCACACAGTTAAGGGTTTGCCGTTGACTTACCTCGGTCTCGTTGGGCAGGTTCATGAGAACGTCCAGGCTCTGTTTCATTGTGAGCTCTGTGCCCGTGCAGTTGACCGCGTACAGTTCCTGTCGGTCGTACGTCGTCTTGCCGCAGTAGCATGAGCCTAATTCGGGCTTGGTGCACCTAAACAGTTCCGAGGACATGGCCACCGGCAGGATTAGCAGCAAGGACACGGCCACCGCGGTGACTGTAGCGGTAGTGGACTCTGCCATCGAAAACACGTCCACCTGCCAAACACCCGCAATGAATTAGCCAAAATTCGAACGAGCACCGTTCGGATGGACGGGTACCCACCAATCGGCCGCACTGGACGTTCCGCGGGCACACACCGAGCCGAGCGCGGATATCACTGCCGGCGGCCGAGGTCGGAAGGATGCATACGAGATGAGACCGGTTAACGCGAACGGTGTTGAGTAACGAATTAATTTATCGAACAAACAACGCGGACGACCTAAATAAAATTTCTCGTACGCCAGCCGAGGAAAATTGTTTTTTTTTTTTGCACTACTTTTTTTTTTGAGGTTATTGACTCGGGGGCAGCAGCAGCAGCAGTTATGGAGGTCGGACGACCCCCGCCATTTTGTTTGGCGGAGCGCTACGATTTGAAAATCAACCCTCGTCACTCGGACGACGACACGCGTCGTAGACACGGCCGCCGTATTTACCTACGAACTACGATTGTGTGTAGTACACTAATGTCGCATGAAAAACGCGATTATTTTTTTTATCTAAATGAAATTGCATTAGAAAAATCAAGCCCCGTACTATGTACGTACGGCGATTAAAGGGAATAATTAGTTTACGGACAAACGTAAAACGTATTCATACAGCGAACATTAAAATAACTACTCACCTGAAGCAGTGCGATGACGAGATTATTTCACAAACGAAGTGGATAGTACGTAGGTATGTCTGTACGGTTCGGTTACAACTGTGACAATTCGATTTCCTCGTCACCAAATAACAATAATAATAATAATAATAATAATAGCAATACGATTGAGGGACAGGTATTGTTGTAATGCCAATGCTTGTAGCACTATTGTGTACAGACCGCACACGGGCAGCAGTTACGGAGTTGGATCGCACAGTGGAGGGGAATTATTGTGATGCATAGGTAGGCACTACAATAATAATTCTCCAGCTAAAGACCATGGCTCTCGCGTATTCCTCACCGCCGCCGATCGAACTCTAGTAAATATGCGAGTATTCGCAAGACATGTTAAATAATGACGGCCTTCTGCAATTAATAATTACGGCGATAAAACAAACAGTAAGGCCGTACTTTAATTTAATGTATAATGTATATTATAGGATTATTTTTTTTTTTATCGCACCAACTCTTCTGTAAATAGTTTAGATCGAACATACCCAGGCCCGGATTTAACAAAAAGCTGAGTGGACTACAGTCCTGCCCCCCCCCACAATTTTATGATCTTTAAATTAGGATTAAAACTCATATTCACACATATTAATTGAATAAAATTGAACTTTATTTGAACGTTTAAAATTTAATTTTTATCCAATTACGTATGACTGCGTTTACTGATGATGGACGATGTTTTATAATCTAGATAAAAGTTCCATGCGTTTAATTTTAATTATTTGACAATGTGACATAGTGATGGGCAGAAATGACTAATTCCTATTGACTTAATCGGTAGTACTAGGTATGTGACTAATTTAGTTACTCTACGTAGTATAATTAGTCATTCAACTATTATTTTATTCGACTAATTTCTATTTGACTAATTTATTCAACTAATTTATATTATTTGACTAATTTTTATTACTTACTTGACTAATTTATATTCCATTAACCATTGACTAAATGTACTTTATTTTGGTAACAATACAAATTCTTACAACCTTAGCATAAACTTTATTAAAAATATAAAGGATATAAAATATAAATTTTATAATGAAATTGTATTTTAAAAACTGTTTTAATTCTGTAGATTATGACAGTTGAATGATAACTATGGTAGTTAGAGTTATTTAGAGTATTAAATATTTATTTTTTTTAAAACCCATGTAAAATAATAGAATATGTATTTACAATATTGTCATTTATTAGAATAGCCTATTTATATATTTTTTTTTACACCGATTCAGAATCACAGCGCATGCTGCATTTGTTGCATTGTTGCAACAATATTGAATCCTATTATAGACTTTTGTAGAATTACTCGACTAATTTAATTTATTTATGTTAGTCGGTTGTGCAAAATTTAATCGAATAATTAGTCAACTAATAATAATGAATTATAAATAGTTGATTACACAACTTTTAAAAAATTAGTCGGTAGTACGTGATGAAAACTGACTAATAGCCGACAGTAACAAGTAGTCACTTCTGCCCATTATTACTTGACATTATTATATTTATTATTCGTTATTTACACAACTTGAATGATTCGTAGTTTTATACATCAAATATAATATAATACGCCGTATAAACAATGTGTTTTCTGCGTCCATCGTCCGAATCAGTAATATTTTTGTAAAATAATCATCATAATAGATTTTATGTACAGTCAAAATTGTAAAAAGCTTTTAGTATTAAATAACTTTTTTATTTTGCATTACATTGCAAAAAGAGATAAAAAACGTGGCGTTATACCAACAATAAATGTAGAAGTAATAATAAAAATGTATTATAAACATATATAATATAATATATATATACATATAAATATATAATATATATACATATAATATACAATAATTTGTATATTATAAACCATGACAATTTTGACAGACTTTTTTTCATAAAAAAAGTTAGTAATTGTTTAGTCAATATTTATAATTATTTTATGTATTTTAATAATAATATGACGGATTTTTTCTTATTTAAATCAAATAAAAATCAAAAAAATATATGTATTATATCTTGTGTAGGATTTAACGCTATGTTTCATATAGGAAATTACTTAATTTTGTAGAGTTTATTCCGTCTATTCCCCAGTATTTTTAGGTATTTATTATTGCATGCTGTAAAATCGAGTCTTAAGTCTGAAAAAAAAAGTTATATTTTGAATTTAATGTATAATGATTAATTTTATCTTTTATAAGAAGTTAATTATCTGAACATTATGATGTACAAAAATGTATCGTTTATCTATCTAATAATTTATAACTCATAAATTGGAAGCATTTAAAAATTTAAGTCGAGATACGTACAATATGAATAGTGAACATTGTCATATGGGCTGAGGGATAATTTACAGTCCTTAATTATTAATAATAAAATATTAGTAAATAGTAAATAGGTATTTATAATCAATGGATAATGGTTATATTTAATGTAGGTACTTAAAAATTGTTTAGAATATTACTTGGATGTAAGATGGACTCAGGATATGAAATTAATCAGATTGCATTTTAAAGATATATTGCATAAAATATAAACAACTACACTTATAATTTGAACATTTAGCGAACAAATTCAGTGCTAAAAAATCACCTTATATAAAAACGTACGTATTTTATTTTATAACTTAAATGTGATGTATAAAAGAGGAAGTGTAATATTATATGACGAGTAAAAACAAAATAGTAGCTAATCGTGTGATTTATGTATAAAAGAATAAACTGTTGACAACATTAATAAAAAAAAAATACGATGCTGTATATATTAAATTAATACTATACGATTAAAAAATACTGATAGTGGAATATTAATAGTATTTAATGTAATAATATAAATTATGAACTACAATTCAGTACCTACTTTTCTGTCTATCCGTACATAATATATATCAGAGACGGTCAAACTTTTTTCGGCCACGATTTACTAAAAATATACTTCACCTTTGAAGATCGACTTTCTTGGAAAAATGTTTTTATTATTAAATAATTATAATTATTAAGAAACATAGGTACTTGCTTAAAGTGTATATAAAAATGCATAAAGTATTATAAATTAATTACTAATTACTAAAAATAATATAATAATTTTTAAAATTTAAATACTTAAGTCTAATTAACATATTAATATTTATTTTGTTGAAGTGCACGTGGCCTAAAAATAAATTCTAACATGATCGACTCTGAAATCGTCCGCGATCGACCGTTTGGCCGCCCCTGATATATATTACCTATTAATGTTAACCAACGAAATTTTAATATAAAATAATGTATCTAAACATTTAATATTACTACTTTTCATTCATGTACTAACATTGACCAATTAAAATTAATTAATATTTCACTAAAGATTATTTAGATGAAATTAATAAACATTAATTTGTTATTTTATCAATCACAGTTTTTTTTTCGTGTCAAACAACCTTGTACATAAATACGACTAGGATTAAATTAATTAAAATTAAAATAAACAGCTATGAGTCGGTAACATTAAATAAATAAAGCATGAATAAAATAAAATAAAATAAATCAAACAAATAAATGATAGTAATAAATAAATAGTTCACAATAAACACCCAGTAAACATTCAAAAGTATTTTTCAGTAGAATTGGTAGTGAAGTTTTTAAACATAAAATGCTTTAACTGGTAATAATAACATATGTACCTACCTTTGTTATTGTAGTTTATATGTATTTTAAATTAGTCAAGTTGGAGGCAGTTACAGATAATGATCATGAAAATTGAATTCAAAACGATTTGAAATAGTTTATTCATTATAAATTAACATAATAATTATTTATAAATTAATTTACAAGTATTAACCAATTATCAATTTTTGTTTTATTCTATTATTTTAAGTGTAATAATTGAACATTTATTACATTTTTTTTCAAATATCTTTAAGAAATAGAATACGGTTTTAAAAACAGTGTTCTTTTAGAGTTACACTTATCTATGAATAATAGTCATTATGGTCAAGTCAAGTATGGTGTTAGCTGATATAATACCTGAACCTTTTTTTTTGGGTTATAGAAGTCGCTGATTATTGAAGTATATCTATAAAATTGTATTTCCATAAACGATATTCACTACCTAGTTAAAAATCATATTTGTATTTACATTATTTTAAAAGTGTTTATTTATATACCTACTCAGTATATTATATACTTATATACTGTTTTATAATTATATGTTATTGAGAACATAATAGCTGATTGTTATTTACTGTTATGTTTCAAGTAAGTTATACTTCACCTATAAAAATAAGAATTTCATACTGCAACACACTTAGAGGGGTATTATTTGGACGTGTTAAAAATGTTAATACAATTATGATGAATTATGTTTAATATATTTAGATATATAGTAAATCCATATTTTTTATATTTTCATTTTAAACAAAAAAAAAAAATTACATCTTGGTAGGTAGGTACTATTACACAAGATAATTTTACTACAGCAACTAATCAATAAATTGTTAATTTAAATCTTAGAGCAAACTATGACATTATTTAATTTTTTTTTTTAACTTTTATATTTAACACATACAATCTATAAATACATTTTACAATAAGCATGTTTGAGGATTTACATTTAATGACATGATTAACATGATATAGTAATCACCCAGTGGCAACACTTACTGGCAAGAGGGTTAGAATTATTTTAGGTCACGGTTCTAGCTATGCTTTAACCTTCTTGGTGGGTTCCCAGGAATAGACTCAGAGTTTAGAGCCAGGATTAGGGGGTTAGAGTGGTTTACAAGACGGGAACGGAAAAGTTTGTAGGAGTTTTTGGCTTCTTCTTTGACAGTGAGTATTTTTAAGTCTGAATGTACTTATTTAATTTAAACCAAGGATTTGGATTAAATTTAATTATATTTACATTAAACCATTGATTTGATTGTATAAAAGTACAGATTATATTTTATGAATGGGCGACTGTAATTTAAGGGGACTTTGCATTAGATTATTTTTGATCATAAACAGCACCTTCTAAATTTAACCATGCTTTGAAATGTGAAATCCATAATTAATTTTGACAACAGATACATATATTTAAAAATTTATTTGATGCATTGATTGGAATACATTTTTAATTATTACGATAATTATTATTTTAAAAATTACTATATGACTTGCATATTTTCAAATATAAATAATATAAAAAAACAAAACTTTGTATATTGTTAATATCTTCTCTCACTAATAAATTAATATATAAATAAATAAGTGCTTAAATTGACTGGAATATTTTTATAATATATATATATATATATATATCAGGTATATATATAGACCCAGTTCAAACATTTACTTATACCTAGGCAAACATAAGTTATGTTGCCCATTACATGTAAATACTATAGGTATCAAATATTATTTTTACATACACAATACTAAAATAGACTTAATTTTGAGTTCATTATATTTATTTATGTAAAGTTAATAATTTATTAGTTAAACACACTTGTAGATAAGTAAACCACTACTAATTTAAATAAAACATAACAGTTTACTGTCTTATTTTTTACTATATATAATTTGATATGTGTAGGTACTAGTAAATGTAATATTTTTTTAAAATGATCCATAGTTTAAAAATGTTAAATGCCGCCTTAGGTGTGGGCCTATGTTACCTACCCCTTGAACTGGGCCTGGGTATACATAAAGTCCATAGAGTCACTATTTTATTAACTTGGTATTTACCTGATGATGAACTTTTAATCTGAATGTAGTCGTATATAACAAATATAATAATACTCCAGTCAATTTTAGCATTTATTTATTTATATAGAGATAATAAATTAAAAATTGTATCATGAATAATGCCTTGTAAATATAATGAAGAATATGTATTCTCAAATAAAATTCTGTTTTCATAGGAATATATTGTTATAAATATAATTTTGTTTAGGCAATACTGTGTAATTGACCATCTATAATGAGTAATATGGGCGTAACTTGGAAATTTATAAGGGGGGCAAATATATAATTACATATCTAACAAAAAAGGTTTCCGCGGCAAAACGCCGCTTTACTACCTACATTTTATTATATAAAATTATTTATTTTCTAATTTTATGTTGGATAAGCGAAAATTGAAAATTAAGATTTAAAAAAAAAATTGTATAGTAATATCTATAACCACCTGTTTTGTACTTATTTAAAACAAGGTATGTTAAATATCAGAGAAGGCACTGTCCATCCTAATTTATTCTAGGGGGGCAATGACCCCCCCCCCCCTTCCACCCAGTTTACGCCCATGATGAGTAACACTCATGTTCATTTATAAGTAGGGCCTGGATTTAAATGCTTTACCATACAAATATGCTCTAAAATATAGCCAAAAATTTCTTAAAAAATATATTTTACCACAAAATTGACATATTTTTATTTTGGTCATTAACACACAATTTTACACATTAAAATCACAAACACACATAATATGAGCAATGTCTGGGAAGTACACAAACTGACTGATTATTTGTTATTTGACCGAATACTGGTGACGTTCCACAGTCAATAATAAATATAAAAAGATAAAAATTGAATCAAAAAATAAAGATTGACAATGTGTATAGAAAAACCCGATAAGCTTACTACAATATCAAGAAAATAATTTATCTTTTGATTTTATTTTGAATAAGCTAAATTTGTTTAGTATATTGAACAAATATGCACAAAAGACCATCAAAATAAACCAATAACATTAAAAATCCATTAAAAATTAAAAACGTCGAAAAATGCAAAAAATATGTGTAGTTTTGAAACCCTCGTTACATGAAACGAATGTTCTTAGAAAGCATTGAGTATGATAAACCAAAAAAATATGCACTTTGCTTTAAAATCAGGGCCCTATTTATAAGTAGAGAATTATTAATACAATAGGTTTTTAGAAATCGTCTTAACAATGTTAATGTAAATGTCCTTAATAATACAATTCGATTTCTTAAATAATTCATTATATTTTTTATTATCATCTGAGTGAAAAAATATGAAAATATTATATAGGTTTTAATTTTAAATTTATAATGTTTCTCTGATTAATTATGAATCACTACATAGATATTTTATAATTTAAAATTAATTTTTATGCCAATTAAAAGAAAAATATAGCATAATTTTAGAAAATTACTTTGACATTATAGATAATCTTAAAAGATTACTAGCGCTCGGTATTCACACTAAACTAAATAATATATTTAATATAAATTTATAGAAAACAAAAAGTGAACAGTTGACTAATCGAATATTTTCTCTTAATTATTTAGAACATTATTAATTTGATCTTCAATTGCTATTATTATTTTTATTTAAAAAACAAATGTATTATTAAAATTCATTTATTTAGTAAAAGCAGAGTGATACAGTATTTTGTTGGGAATACCTTTTTTAAAGCTACTCATAAATATTTATAGTTAATATAAATCATATAGAAGTAAAGCAAACGCTTAAACCAGTGTGCCGCGATAAGTCTATAAATTGATAGTATGTATTTACCAACTTATTATTGATATTCGATATGAAAACTGATTGAACTAATCGTAGATACATATAATATTATTTATTATTAGTATGCCCGTCACGGTCACCTCAATCGATCGATTGTATTAATATATTTCACGATAAATAACCCTCTAATAGAGTAGACTATAAATAGTATACATACATATATATATATATATATATATATGTATATAAAAAATTTGGTTCACATAATTTATGGATTAGTGTGCCGCGAAAATTTTGTTAGAGATGAAGTGTGCCGCATTGTTAAAAAGGTTGAAAACCACTGACTTAAACTAATCAATTTTTTTCTGCTCTGAATTGTTTGGATCTCTAAACAAAAAGCATTCACTCAAAAAAGTATCGCCAAAAAAATAGTGTATTACTATACAATAAATAAATAGATGTTAATAAAAAATTTGTTTTTGAAAAAAAAACATAAAGGAATTTAAGATCAAATTTATAATATGGACCATAAAATTTACTTAGACGAAAACATTAGTTAAGAAAAAATGTATTACAATTATAATAAAGATATAATAAAATTAATTAGCAAAAAATTATTTTTTTTTTAAAGGTGAAATCAAGCACACCAACATTTTATCAGTGATGTTTTAAAATATTATTTTAGTAAATAACATTTAGCAACTAATAGGTGCTGAGGTTAACTATATTATAGTTTGTATTACAGATTTACTTATAGTTGTATATATATATATATTTATCTAGAGCAATTAAAATTCATGATTTTGCCTAATTTGGTAGCAATAGAATTAGAATTAATTTATAGAAAATTTATACTTTTACACAAACGTAATTAAAAATTTAAGGACTTGATAAAAGAAACAATTAAAATGTATAAGTTTTATTGAAATAAAACACTCAGCACATAAAAACGGTTTATGATTCCATTTCTTCGCCTTGTAACTCTTTAAGGTACGCGGCTTTGGCTTCAACAACACGTTGTTTGCGCTCAGCATTCGTTAATTTCTTAGCATTCCAGCGTTTCTTAGGTTCCTTTGAAACATCCTTCTTCGGTTTCCTCTCTCGTTTCGGGTTACTTCTGATATTTTCATGGGCTTTCTTATACATATTTTCCAACTATTAAAATAAAATAATTAACATAATTAATATTTTTTATAGTACTAATTATGTTTTCAATAAATTATTTATTAATTCAACTTATATTAGGAAATATTTAAACGCAGTAATGTACATAATTTATAAAATAATACATAAACGTCCCTATTTGTACTTATGCCAAAAGGAAGAGATGATAAGAACTAGCAACAAGAATGTTGATGACAATTTTAAACTGCACTAGTTAGTCAACAGATGCCATTATAGAAGAGTTAAATTATCATTTGATCATTGATACCACAAAATACAATACTTCTATTTATTATACAGCACATGTAAATTGATGATCGAGCTTAAGTTTAGTTTCTTCCTCAAAACTAACCAACAGTAGCATTTTACACTTCACGTCACCACTTGTCAGGTCATAGTGGGAATAGCTTTAGCTGGGCAGAGTATATGTTTACTCTGCCTAGTGTATACATTTATGGATTAATGAAAAATTTTTAACGGATTGAAAGATATGAAAAAATTTCTAAGGTTAAGTAAATAAAATTCTATGTACTTACATCATCAGCAACAATTCCTAATTTAATGTATTTAGAAAACTGACGGTTGTATGCATCTTCATCCTCTTCTTCTAATTTACGCATGTACTCAGCAACGTGCAAACCCAAAATGTGTTTACGATGAATTTCTGCACTGTATTCTTTAGCTTCAGCATCATAGCCAGGGAACCTCTTTACACTTAATAAAATTTAAATTTAATAATTAACGTTAATAAATTAATAAAAATAAGATAATAATAGAAGATTTCAATTTAAATATATTTTACCTGTGGGGAATGTTAAATCCTCCATCAACAGCTCCTTTCATTGCTCCGAAAACTCTAGCACCAGTGCTAGTTTTCATTAAACCAACATCTAGATTGCAACGGAAAGCATTTGGACCTTCATCAGCTGGTTCAACATAGTATTCTTCACCGTTAGCTTCTTTTAATCCTTCATACAAACGGTCCAATCCAAGTTTTTTCAATAACTATTAATGAAAAAGGGTTAGGTTGAAAAAAAAATTTAAATAGAATTATTAAATAAAATATAATTTACTCGACGAGCAACCAAAAGTCCAGTGCAGTATGCAGCAGCATAGTTAGTTAAACCAACTTTAACACCAAAATGAGGTAATTCATGACTGTAAGCGGCGCATACAATTTTGTCTCCTTCAATACGAGAGTGTGCAACCTTTATTTGAAAACCAATTTAATGGAATAATTATTTTAACTGTGAAGTATTATAATTTTACTAACCTGACATGTAATATCTTTGTTTGAAAAACGAACAATCAAACGGTATTTAGGAGTGTCATATTTATTCTTGTCTTGAACAATTAAACGTTTACGGGCATAGTAGTCAGTTTTACCTTCACGACGCCTCTTGAATTTAACTTGGTAACGCTTGAAATACTGTTTGTTCTTAACAACTTTAACGAAACCCTGAAATTTGAAATTATAATTAATTAAAACATTCCCTTGAAGTTGGTGTCCGAATGAAAATCGTTCAAAGTGGTCGAATGGTCAGTGATTTTTATCCGTTCGAATCCACAAAAGTATGCAAAGACAACTCAAATAAATAAATGCAACCATAAATGTATTAAAAAATATTCGATTACTTACCATTATGAAATCAAAATATCAGAAACGGACGACGTAATCCAGAAGAATACGCCGTGCAAAAGCAACGTACACGACGAGAAAAACTCTACAAGAGAGAAAATGAACAGAGAGAGATAACGTAACCTACAAATTATGGCAGTGTATGTCTTGGAGAGCAATATCATAGAAATTACTTGTGCTCTGACCGTGGTTTATAGTTTCTATTCCATGAATATTTTTAACATGTGTCTTTTTTCATTATTTCAAGATTTTCAAAACGGTTTTTTATTTTCACCATTCATTCTTTCATAAATAATATAATAATTTTAATCTATGATTGTAATCGTTATTAATTTTGTTCTCATATTTTATATCTAAAGTATATTATTTAATGACATAAATTATTATATGTTTACGTCACACATTGTTAAATCAATTAAATTTGTATGGTGGGTATATTGTATATACTATTTTGACGTAGATCCTATTATTATCTATTTAATTATTCATTAGTATTACAAATTTATATAAGCGTAATATTGCATAGGCGTTTTGTGGATTATTTCAGTTACCACTACACTTTTTAAACTTTATGTTCTTAAAAATAATTACTAATTGTAAATATTATATATACATATATATATCATGTACTAAATTTAGTTATTGAGCCTTACAAAAAAAAAAACATGAATGATATATACGTTATAATATTATTAAAAGGTAAAAAAAATAATTACAATAAAAATTACAAAATAATTTTGTATTGTGAAGAATTAAAATTGAAAAATAAAACACAGGAGAAAAGAATAATTGACTGATATTAAACGAGTGTTTTAATCACCAATTACTACATGTAGTTCGTGGTTTTAATAGTACAATACAATCATTATAATTACAAATATATTATATATATTTAATATAATATAAATATAAATATTAAATATTTATATCAGTGGCGTGCGGTCAGGACAAGCTAGGTAAGCGGCGCATGCCCAGCCAAAAAGGAAAAAATAAAAAGATTAATATTTCTGATGTTAAATGTTAAATGTTAAATTTATTTACATTAAAACATTAAAATTACAAATATTTATTAATTCTTATTTTTGTGTTCAATTTAAAAAAATGTATCAGATTTTGAAAAAAATTAAATGATTTTTTTTTTTTATAGGCAATTTCTCTACAGAAGCGTTAGTATTTTAGATTGCCTTTCTTATATAGTTATTTATAGGAATGACCAGTTGTGGTAGAAGGGGATATACACGTTTTTACGTGATGAATGAAAGCGCTATGCCGAGCGCTTATCGATATTTTTAAAAACGAAATTCCAATATTCTTACAATGCATATCGGATTATTTTTGTTTTCAATATACATATTATAAGTTATAACTATACTACTTATATTATACTATACTATACTTATGATAAATAAATTATTTTGTCGTCAACCGTCAACCGTCAACGTGTCCACAAGTCTTCATAGTTAAATTTTGTTGAACAAAAATTTTTAATGTAAGTATATTAAATTCCTATTGCATAATTTTATGGAATTAGTATAGATAATTAATATTTAAATAAATAAAATTATTATAATTAAGAGGAATCAAATTATATTCGTTGTTTATATTAGTTTTTATAGATAATGAATACTTATTCAAACAATTGCTTAATCAAGCATCTTTTGGAAAATGAATTTAATTTAAAAAATGTTGATGAAAAATTAACAATTGTAAAAAATGGTCGACCATGTCCAAAAATTCCAAAATTGACATCTTATCTTAAAGAAAAAAACAAAGTTTACATTTGTTATTTTAATATTTCTAATTATTTTAATACTTTATGGTTGGCTGGTAGTGCAAAATTAAATAAAATTTTCTATTGGCCTTGTGTTTTATTCACCAGGGAAAAAAATGTTTGGTCTCATAGTGGTTTTGTTAATTTCAATAATTTAATAAATGGTATTCAAAAACATGAAAGATCTCAAACACATATTTCTTCAGTTTTAAAATGAAAAAAGTTTGGAAAATCTAGAATTGATTTGCAGCTTGATGAACAAAAACGTTTAGATGTAATACGCTATAATGAATTGGTAAAAAAAAATAGAGACGTTTTAAAACGTTTTATTGATTGTGTTTGTTTTTTGGTGATCCATGAATTACCATTTAATGGTCACAATGAAAGAGTTGATTCTTTCAATCAAGGAAATTTCCTCGGTTGTTTAAATTTATTATCATCTTATGATTCTATTTTAAACGTGCATTTAGAAACATCAAAAATATTCCGTGGTACATCCAATAGAATTCAAAATGATCTTATTTGCTCAATTAGCAACATCATATCAACGTCCATTGAATCAGAAATAAAAAATTCTAATTTTGTTGCAATATTATTAGATGAAACTTCAGACATAACAAATCTGTCTCAAGTATCAACAACTTTAAGGTATGTCCAGCATGAAACTGGGGAAGCACGTGAACGTTTTACCTCATTTGTCGACGTTAATGCTGATAGAGCAGCAGACGGTTTATTAAAACACGTAGTTGATATAGTTAATAGGTATGAATTAAAACATAAATTAGTAGCTCAAACTTAAGACGGAGCGGCCGTTATGAGTGGTCATGTTGGAGGACTACAAGTTAAAGTAAAGGAGCTCTACCCAAAAGCATTATTTGTCCATTGTTTTAGTCATTCATTAAATCTTGTATTTTCACAATCAGCATCAAATATAAAAAACTGTAAGATTTTTTTTCAAACACTAACTGGTATGGCATCATTTTTTACTAAATCTTCTAAACGTACACATGTTTTATTTAATTTTACAAGAAAAAAAATGCCAAAAAATGCGCCGACTAGATGGAATTTTTCTTCTAGCTTAGTAAATACGGTTCATGAATACAATTCATATTTCAACACGTATTAGATAATTCCAATGATTGGGGTAATGAAGCGATAGTATTATCTCAAGGGTTCATCAATTTTTTGGATAGTCGACAAACATATTTTTTGCTAATAGTATTTAGTATAATATTTAGTTTGACTGATATTTTATATGAAGTGTTACAAACTAAATGTTTAGATATTTTATATCGTGAGAAAAAAATTGAAGAAACTAAATGTCAACTACAAAATTATTGGTTAAATCTATTTGAAAAATTATGGGAAACAGTTTTATTAAAGGCGATTTTGAGCTACAGCGTAAAATTCGTGACCAGAAAACATTTTACAAAGTACTTTTTAATGAAATAATTGATATCATATTGACAAATTTGCAAGCGCGATTTGGTTCTTTAAATAAATTTGAATTTTTGTCATTAGTTGACTCAAGTAATGTAACGAATTTCAAAACTCTGCTCTAGAAAACTTGCGAGAGTCAATTTTCGGAGAAATATTTGATTTTATTAGATTACGAAACGAATTAATTGTATTATACACATCTGAAGAATTTTTAAATATTAATCCATATGATTTAGTCAAAAAAATTAAGATAAATTATTTAATATCGACGTTCCAAGAAGTATTTAAACTCAGTCAATTAATTTTAACTATTCCTAGTACAACAGGTTCAGTTGAACGTTCTTTTTCGGTATTAAAACGAATCAAATCGTATCAAAGATCTACACAAGGGCAAGAAAGACTTAGTTCATTATCATTAATTTCAATCGAAAAGGAACTCCTGCACAAAGAAAAAAATCATCCAGAATTTTATGATAAAGTTATTAACGAATTTTTAAAACATGAAAGGCGAATGGATTTCATCTATAAATAAATTTTAGATTGTAATTTTTATTTTTTATTAATAAAATACCTTTTTTTTGTTTTAATTTGAAATTTTATTTTAGCGCTTACCCAAGATAAAATATTACCGCACGCCACTGATTTATATAATATACAAATCATTATATTACAATTATAATTGTATATTATAAAATCAATGTTGATACTAATGTATTATATTATAACGTAGTAATAAAATAGTCATTGATATTACAAACTGTGTTGTGTTTGTGTTATCAGCGCTGTTAACATCAAAATATATGTAAATATGTAACATACAAGATATTCATGAAATGGTTGAGGAAACAAGTATATGCGTATTAGTACAAGTATAGGGAGTAGCTAAATGAAGAATCTTTTGTAGTTTTTATTTTTTCGAAACTAAGTTTTATCTAATTATCTTTAGAACATTATTTTTAATTTATAAATGAACACTTGTAACATATTTCTTGCAAATTTCTCACCTGAATCGATATGTGACATTCGGGCTTGTCGTCCGTTTTCACGTTTGAGTAGCCAGGATCAAAATATGTGGTGTGACACATCGATCTGTATGAGATCTCTGCAAGATAAAATATGGTGAAATGTATTTGTTGTTATTTCATATATCTGATTAATTAACACGGTTTTTATTGTAAAATAATTATAATTAAATAACATTTATTTGAAATTCAATAAAAATCGTATTAATTAATCAGTTATGTGAAATAACAACAAATACATTACACCATATTTTATCTTGCAGAGATCTCATACAAATTGATATGTCACTGATTTTTTATATTTTCTGATCTTGGCGACTTGGGCGTGAAAAACGGGCGACAAGGCCAAATTGATGTCACATATCGATTCACGAGAGAAATTTGCATGAAATATCTTACAAGTATTCATTTCTATAATCGAAATAATGTTCTAAAGATAGAAAATTTTTTTTAAAACATTCTTTTTTTGGCCACTCCAGAAAGTACGCGTATACTAGTTTTTTTTAACCATTTAATGAACACTGTATAAATTGAAATTTACTTATCTAGATGGAAGGTACAATCCTTATATATATAAAAGAACAAGTCTTTTTTATGTTCCAATTTAGTGATGACGCTGCTCAACATTTTTCTAATTTTTTTTTCACAGAGTTGTTTCAAATACATTCTTGAGTCATCACGTCGCCCGATTTTTCATTTCTTTTGTCGGAGGGGGGAGTAGGAGATTGGAAAAATGTTAAATAATGTTGTTACAAAATTGAAAAATAAAAATACAATACCCATCTCCCTCTCCCCAGACAAAAAAAAAAAAAAAAAAAATGAAAAATCAAGTGACGTGGTGATACTCAATAGAATATTTAGCACAACTCTGAGAAAAAAT